TTTCCCTTGATGCAGGAAACAGAAAGTCTATGTTCATTAACATCGTCTCCAAAAATCTCACTAACCAGAGCCCACCTATTCCAGCTCTCAGTATCCAGAGGAAAAAAGCACACGTTACTTTTCCATCTCCTGCACGAAACATTACGGCAACTGCATAGAATATTTCTGGTGCTGATACTTGGAAACTAATCTCTCCTACCCAGAAGACCGTTGAGGAATGGCTCTGTATATGGTAAACGCTGGTGTCAGTCAACCGCTCACCAGTTTCTCCCTTACATTTAGATTAAGGGTCTGTGTCCATAGGAGGGACGCGGCGTGGTCAGGCAGCCCCCCACAGCGCACAGCACAGGCACACAGGGGTCTGCACGGTCCCACCGGCGCAGCGTGAGTACCTCGCTCTGCCGGCAGCGCTGCCTGCTGTGGCACAGACGGCGTGCCGCGTATCGCTGCGGTAAAGAGCTGGGGCATGTGCACTGCGAGGTCTCGAATAAATTCATCGAGCAGCTGGAGTGTCGGGCGGCTGCCAGGAAGGCAAACAGTGCAGAAGCTGGGGTCAGCACTGGGCACCGGTCCACGCTGCACTGCCTGCCGTTGATGTAGCACGGCACAAAGGTGACACCGTGCCCCGCCAAACTTCTTCCTTTTATTTTTTAGTTTGGATCAGAGCCTGCACTTTGTACTCCCAAGCATAGCCTGGAGAACCTCTGCACGCCCTGCATGCAATGCTGCACTTTCCCTTACCAACCTGCTGAAACACAGCTCTGATCTAGACAAACGCGGTCACCCACGCCTGCCCTTGCCTCGTGCCCTGCGGATGGGCGGCCACTTCTGCTGCCAGGGCCAAAACATCTGTCACGCCGGGCTCGCAGACACCACAGGCACAGGCAGGGCGATGAGTGGGACATGGAGCGGGACCCGCTGACCCAGGCTGGAGGAGGCAAAGCAGACATGTCTGACAGAATGATCTCCCACACTTTACTCTGGGGGAGAGGAGGGGAATCCCACCTATTCATCCCTCCTATTTTACACATCTCCCTTAGGATGAAATAAATCAGGATCTCGAAAAGCCAGTTTTCACACTGGTCCTAAAGAGGGATGGGTGATCAGCTGCTTTCAGCACGGATACAAAAAGCAGAGGCAAGATACACCTCAGATTTAATGCCTGTGTTTCCAGTATTTCTGCTTGCTTCTTTCATGGGATTTCTAGTGGTGGAAACAGGACAGTCGTTAACCATAGGACTGAAAGGAAACCCATGAATTGAAAGTCCAAATCATTCCCTGGGTCACAGGAGGAAAACCAGTAATTTGCAAAACTCAGCGCTAAAATAAATAATAGCCAGGTGTCCTTCTCTGTAGCTTTATTCGTATTGATGTTAATACTGGCTCTGTAGCATCTCACCTGTACGTTACATGAAATGAGAGATGCTGTTATAGAGTAAGTGTCCATTTTGAAGTGGAGGGGAAGTCTCCTGCCTATCTACCGCGCAGGCCGAGAGCAGGACTCTCGGCACCGCTTCCTGCAGCGCTTCCCTGGCAGGCGAGGTGGGTGGCTGCCAGCGACAGGCAATGCCACGGGTGTTAGAAGGAAGCTAATTTGATGGTGTGTTGCAAACGCCCCCAGTATGTCCCCATGCCCTCCCACCGTGCTCTGTCATTGCTCCACAGCAAACCCTGCTCCGGGCTCAGCTCCAGGGAAGCCCAGCACCGGGTGTGGAGCAAGCACAGCTCCTGCAGTACCGGGCACAGCTCTCGCGATCCCGCTTTCCCGGCATGCCGGGAACTGCAGCCCGAACATCGCGCTGAAAAATGAGCCCATCTCATCCCACTCCCACGAGGCGCCCAGTGCTGACCCGTGCCCTCCCTCCGGGTCAGGGACTCACCGTTATCAAACACGGTGCCTGCTGTGAAGGAGAGCTCCGAGTCATGTTCTGCTTTACAGGCGTACAAAGCTCGGGCTTTCCGCAGTGGTGAGCTGCAAAAAGAAAGCATTCATTGGAATAAAAAATACTCTACTCATACACAACAGCACTCCCCTCTTCACAGCGTCAAAGAGGGGTCCCTGTAAGTGGTGCATGTTGAAGAGGGGTCCAAGGACCTCTACCCCTCTACCAGGGTCCAAGGTTATGCTGCTTGGGGGAAGAGCAAGGAAGATGCTAAAAGAGGCTAAAGGCTCTCAGGGATGAGCCCCTAATTTTCACCGCATTGCAAATCCCAGTCCGAGCCCAGCTGGCACCACCAGGACCAGAGCCCGTGCCCGGTGCCCACACAGTGGGCAGCCCGGAGCCAGGGGTCCCCGGGAGAGCTCCAGGCACTAGACGGGAGGAGTACAGTGGGGAGCTGGAAATGTTTTGTGAGTCTCTGAAGGGCCATAACCGACTGGAGGGCCGGCGCGGAGCAAAGGCAGGCAGCAGGTGCCAGCAGCGACCTGCTGCCCACTGGCCCCGCTCATTGCCAAACTCATCGGTCTCCGAGTGCAGCTGCAACCACAAGGAGAATTTTGTGAGGAAGAATTAGCACTTGGGGAAGGGTATTTCAAAACAGAAAAACAAGTAGGTCCATGAAGAATTTGCTGCACTTCTTTAGAGACTGTACCTGGAGACAAAAAAGATTTAACAGCCATTAGATTTTACTGGGGAAGTGTCAGTGTGCCCACGCTGCGGGGGAGTGAATTAGAGCAGAGAGAGCCAGAAATGGAGCAAATCGCTGGCAGACGCAGGGAGAAAATGAAGGACCTCAGGACCCCACCAGCAAAGCACAGGCACACAGGGCTGTGCCCTGTGCCTCCCACCCGTCCTTTCCAGGTTTGGGCTCGAGCAAGGCTGGTGGAAAGCTGGGACACCACCAGACCACGGTGATGGTGACAGTGCAAACCTGCCCAGGCACTGGGCCATCCGACCAGCTGGCTACATCCAGCGCTGCAGCAAACCACTCGGCTATGGCATGGCCAAGCAAAGTGATGGAAGTGCCCCCAAAAGCTGCTGGGGTACGGAACAAGGTGTCACCATTTCTCAGTTCAGCAGTTTCCCCAACTTTTATCTTTCCGAGGACTTGAACTTATTCTGAATTCTCTCCGAGCAAGCCCAGTGAAGCAGCACGCTTTCACCTCATGGTGAAAGTGGTTCACCTTCACACAGAAACCACAATCTAGGGAAGCTGTGAATGGTTTTGGTTTTGCTGTGAAGAGAGCCCCGAAGCAGAGGTCTCTCCTCTCTGAATTCCAGCTGCCTGACACAAGCAGCCGCCAAACACTTAAAACACCAGGATGGGCAAACACTGCTCCGGCTCCAGAGAGGGTTCTTTGCTGCCGAGGAGGCACCGCTCACGCACAGTGCTTGGGGAGACTGTCAGATGAAAAACAAAAGGCATTTTTGGGCTTACTACCTTGAATTATTCAAGTTGTTGTTTTTCTCCCAAAAAAGTGACCTCTGCATCCCAGTGTCCCTGCGGCCCCAGCCTGCCCCTTTGCCCACCGGCTGCTCTCCGAGCTGCAGCTCCCTTCAGAGCCCTGCACGGCTTTCAGGGACTGAAATGCTGGACCCCGGCAATCGCTCATGTTAGGTTTCTGCCTCCAAGCATGGCACGAGGCCAGCAAAGCACTCAGGAGTTTCACGCATCTGCCCTTGTGCAGTTTCGGGGATGAAGAGCCTCTCTCCCCCAGAGGAGGAAGGCTGCTCGGGTGGTATTACACTGTTGTCAGCCTTTGCAGATGCGTAGCAAAACAAATAAATAACCTTGCCAAGCAGGCAGCCATTGTACAGGCAGCATTTGTAAGGCTGTAGGTGTGGGGAAGAGCTCGGTCTGTGCCTGTAACGAACAAACAGGTTTGACACGTCTCCCTCAGAGGAGGGATTGCTGCCCTGGCCCCGCACGCCTGCGCCTGCCAAGGGGCTGGGAGGTGCACTCTGCCGGGGACGACAACGGCCTCTTTCTCTACTGTGCCAGGAGTGGGCTCGAAGGAGAGAAATCCTGTCCAAGGGCACCCTGCACACAGACCAGAGGTAATGCTGCCCTGGCTTCCACCATGTGAGCATGCCCCGGTACCTGCAGTGCAGGTCCCAAATGCTGCTCATGGCACGACTGCATCTCCTGTGCCAAAAGCCATGGGACCCCCACGCAAAGCCCGCTCCCACTGCGCCGCAGCCAGCAGCGTATCGCACCCCAGGGCGCAGGGGGGACGTGCATCCTCCTGCCCCGTGGTGCCGGCACGCAGCACAGCCTGACCTGCTGCTCCAGGGTCCCACTGGAAATCTTCCATTAGTCTGTGACTTTCAGGACCAATTCACCCAGTGATGCCCAAGCACCTGAGACACAGGCGCACAGCAGGCAAAGGTTGGTGTTGCACCGTGTCCTTTACCCTCCTTAGATTCCAGATAAGAAAGGGGAAGTGGCCAGAAAATGAGGTATCACAGCATTTTACAAAGAGTTGTTATTCCTCGCAGCACCCGGGAAAGCAGTACACGTCTTACCTGTTGCAGAGAGGAGTAAAGCGAACCACAGGCTGCTGAAATGGCTGGGCAAAACCATGGAAACCACCAGCGATGCCGAGCATTGCGAGTGCGACCTGCAAGGGCTGGCTCCCACCTGCCTGACCACAGGGGCCAGCGGGCGCCTGCCAAGGGGCTCAAAGCAGGGATTTAAAGGGTCTCCCCTGGGGCAGGAGATGTTTGAAAGCTCCTCTCTTGCTGAGTGCAGATAGCTGCATTGGGGGAGTTTGAGCAGGATGCAAAGGGAAAAGGAAAGTGAAGTGGGGGAAACCGAGTAAATTAAACAGAAAATAGCAAAAGCAACAAAAAGCAAAGCGAATTCTGCAACAGACCTGATGGGGGATGAGTCGCTGGACGTAGAGGAGGTGGGCATAGGACTTGATGGCGCGGAGAACATGGGCCAGGACGGTGAGAGGGGTGACGTTGGGCTTGGATTCTGAGGGCTGCAAGACATAACCAGATACCTTATCAACGTGCAACCACAGAAACAAACAGCAACCAAGAGACAGTCAGACGACATCCGACGATAGCAAGTGCCTTGGGAATATTCAGAGCATGAGACACAGCTACGAAATGAAGTGCCAAGACCTTGGGAAATGTTTCAAGGCCAGATCTGCATTTCTCTGGACAACAAGAGCTGGATCTTCCAATTAACCCCTGCTCCATCATCCCGTCCAGGGAGCCTGACACCCCATGTGCGGAGGGCTGTCTCGCTGCTCGCCGCTGGCAGCCCAGCCACTTACCTGCCTTGTTTTATTCCCCCCACTGCTGCCAGAAATAGTTGATGGTATTTCTGGACGTTAACGATGCCTGTGAGCAGCCTCCATCCCCCTTTTGTATGTCAGTTGTTGCGGTGTCAGAGTCTGGGCCCCGATCTACGGCGCCCAGCCACGATTGCCTGTTTACGTTTCTAACCAAACGGGTCTCAGAGGCTGGGAACCCAGAGGAGTTCGTTATCTACAGGACGGAGCCAGCCAGGGCTGGCGTTTCCATGCTATCATCTGTCTGAAGACAACTAGCAGGAGAAAATCTCCAGCCCACACCACCCCGCAAGGCTCAGCAGCATCAGAGGGCTGTGCTGGGACCCCAGCACAAACCGTCCGCCTTACAGGTCATGCAAACGGCTCGCATCGAGGTAACCAGTGCTCCAGGGCTCCTGCTGTGCTGATGCAATCGGTACTATAAAAACTTCATTGATTTGTTTTCCACATTTTACATTGAAGAACTCTTTTCCCCCTCATGCAAACTGCTCTTGATTCCTCACTTTTAAGCTACTGCTGTCAACTGAAGTTGAATCAAGTTACTGAACTAGTGAACGCATGCAGAAGCCAAGTGAGAAGTGTTTGGTTCCTTCAACACTGTTTGATTTAGGTCATTCTCAGGTTCACTGAAAAGCAATTATTGTACTAAAATATCAATTTGAGTCTGATTCATCTTCTACTGTTTCTATGCTTATCAACTCATCTGTATTCTCTATCCAATTCGGATTGTAAACTCTGTCCCTGATAAAACACCAGAAAAACCTCTCCACACTGAAAATGCCTCTGTAAAAACAAGAAGTTTTGTAAAAGCATCATGATTTACGTTTTTTTCCTGAGAGAGGGATGGTACCTCCGATCACACAGGTCTGTGATGAGGTGGGGATAGGGTGTGACCCCACAGGCAACCCCTGGGCCGTCCCTTCCCTGTCCCCATCCTCAACCTCATGCCCAACCCCAAGCTGGGGGCTCCCGAGGGAGAGGGAGGGAAAGGGATACAGGGAGGGGGGCCTCCAGAGCATGCAGTAACAGCGGTTTATGGGTCCCACCAGACCAAATGGACGTTGGAGGGAGGGAAAGGGCTGCACCAGGACTAACAGCATGCCAGAGGCCATCGCTTCATCTCTTCTCCCTCGTCTCAGGGAACTGGCACTTCTCCGAGGGGAATGGGATGAAGTTGCTGAGCTGCTTTCTGACAGCACCAGGGTAAGTCCGGAGGTGGAGGGAAAGGTGGTCCACATGCAGAGAGGGGCACAGCCCTCCCTCTCAGCTCCAGGCTGTAAATATAATTCATTTCAAATACCTGTCTGGGATTATAAAAATGTCTTCTGGATACGTTTAACTCAGATTTCCTCTTGTCACCATGCGGTGTGCAGTGATGTGCCTCCTCCGCACTCGAGGAGAAGCCTCCTGAGGAGCATGGCTTGGACCGGTAGCCAACTTGGAAAGAAACCCCAGCCTCCCAAAAGGATGAAAGCAACCCCCTCCCCGCCAAAGCGAACAAAAGGAACGTGGCAGCACCGGCCCACACACAGCAGGAGAAAGCGTGGGCAGGCTCGTGTGGGGGCAGCGGCCAGGGGAGCCTACACTGCCTCTTAAACCTTTAAAAAAAAGTTCTGTAAAAAGGGTAATGGGTTAACCCATGATCATTCAATACCTATTAGATCACAACAGCAGAAGTTCATCATTTCAGCCCCCGGCTTCTGCTCCTTAAGCCCAGAATGAAATGTTTCATATACAGAGCAAAGAGAATACAACAAACATTTTTCTTCCATTTCAAGCTGAATATAAAACCTCAACCTCTGTTATTTAAAAGAAAAAGAACCGACCTCCCCCAACATCCAAGAGGGTCTCCAGGAAATATTTATGATTAATCTTGAATTTTGTGTTTTCTTGTAATTTTCTTCCGCTCAGTTTGAGTTACAATTTAGCACCTTAAAACTAAAATGTCACTCTTGGCACACCAGCTTCCCTCCCGTTCATGCATCTGTGCAACCAGCACCCTGAAGCCTTCCTCGCCTGCACCAGGCTCATCTCTGGGTATTTGGGTCTTCCACCAGTGCCAGCACTTGCCGAGAGGCCAGTGACTCTTGCCGGCGGTTCCTGCATGCCCTTCCACGCGCCTGCGAATGAAGCTGGCAGACGGCGCTCCCTGGCATTCTCTGATGGTGACAACTCAAAATTGAAAGGATAGGTCTGTGGATTTGGTCCAATTTCTAGGGGGGAGGTGTCTATGTCATAAATATCACCACCGCAATGGCACCTAGAGGACACTAAAGAAGGTTAAAGTGTTGGACTGAACTACTCTGAGGTCCGTATCTGCTTAAGGCCAAACTCTTGGCTTCTTTACTCCTCGCAGAAGCTGTGTCACTGAATTCAACAGAAACTAAGGATTTCCCCTTGTAATTACAGGCAATACCTTTATTACACCAGAGGATTACATACATATAGAAATGAGATACAGCAGTGCATCACAACTTTCACAGGAGGGCTGCAAAACAGGGAACGTTCATAGGCAGACTATTAACAGGAATCCTCAAGATGTTCTCCTAATAATTGTCACTATTTAAAACCAACCTTCTTTGCATTTTTCTATCATCAAAATTGTCAGTCTGTTGAAAAATGAGTAATTACCTGTATTACTTGGTCTTTAACAAATCTGTTGTTAGACATTGGTACTTACCATATATTAAATCTATTTCCAACTTTAAACAGAAGGAGGTGCTACAAAGACCACCAAGTTAGCCCAAATTGCAGAAATTAACCCTTCAAGCACCAGTTCTTGCTGCTTCTTTTTCTTTCTAGCAGGTGTAGTTGTCTGGCCATTGGTGATGACGTCCTACTTTCCCTTAACGCAACAACCTATATAGCACATAATGGCAGGTAATTTTGTTTTATTTTATCTGTGCATAAGCATGCTTCTGCCCTCTAATGGAGAGAGCATGTTAGGTGCATTTGAAGGCATGGAGAGTGCTCTTCTCTGGGCAGCAGGAACTAGAACATTTCCTTTACTGTTAGTACTGCAAGAAGAACCAGTATTTTGGAAGCCAGAGCCCGTTGCTTGTAATACCTGTATGCCATGTTCTCTGGCTCTATACAGCTAAGCTACTATAGCAAGCCTCCAAGACAGTACATGTCTGCACGGTAAATGGAATATGAATGCATGGGTTTATCACCTGGAAGGCAGAGGACCTGCTAGGTGTGCCTTTCGTCTTACCATGGCCTCTCACCATTCACACAGACTCCTCCATCCTGGTGATCTCAAAAGGCTCTTCATCAAATGCGTGTTACCTGCTCCGTGCACGGATTTTCTATAGGCAAAGAGTGGTACCTTAGGAAGCACCTCCCAGCTTCCAGCCCCTGGCTCCAGTGAGGTTCCTCTCCACTGAACTGTCTGCAGGGCAGGATGAGTCCTAAGACAGCTTAGACACCTCACCAGCCCATCTTCTTGCTGGTTACAAACCCAGTGGGCAGCAGTCTTTAATGGACTGCAAAGGCCCCATGCTGGGGTAGGAGAGGGCAAATGAATGGCACAGCACTGCCCTTCTCGAAGAGGAGCTTGGCCCACGGTCAAGGTGGGCCTTGGAGGGGGCAAAGAGCTGGTGACCGAAACATGGCTGGGCTTGTCCCCCTGAGAGCAGCCACCGACACCCACCAGCCCTCCTGCTGTAGCTCCCACCTCCTCTGCGGGCAGCAGGCTCCAGGTGCAAGAGGACATCTCACCAGGCGTGCCAGAGATGGTGTGCCTGCAGCACAGGACGGCCACCGCCTCCGCTACCGACCCCGGTCCTCCTCACTGCATGACGGAAGGAATATCCGACCGCACAGGACTCCAGGACTAGAAATTCCCAACGCACTTTTTGAGATGAAATAATTTTAAAAGAATGCAGCTCTCGCTACTTGTGAAGTCGGCTCTGTCATCGCTCCACCAACTGCGCAGTCTGCTACACTAATTACAGTGCATAATGCAATCACTACGATTCTCAGAGAAGAGAGTTATTTCTGCGATGTTGCAGTAAAAAAGCCTTACAGCAAGGACTGGCACTCAGGCTGGCCTCTATCTAAGAAGCTATCAATAATTTGGAGCAGGATTTTCGTGTCTTTGGATCCTTGGTGGCAAAGAAAACACTCTCCATGCCCACCAGAACAACTGAGAGAACTATTAACTAACGACAGCATGTGGATTTTTAAGTATGAAGACCATCCTGTTTCAATGAGGTTGCTCACGGAAGAGATGAATGTGGTCCTACGATGACCGAGCTACCCCTGCGCAGCCTCACGGTCCTGCTCTGCAGGTCTTTCCAGCACATTTCCTCAAGAAGAACAAATGGATCTTTCAGGACGCCACCTGAGCTGGCCCTCCCAGCACCTACAGACCGTGGGGCTACGATGCACACGAAGGGTTCATCTCCCTTCTGTGAAATACAGGTATTTATTTTCAAGATACTGCTTGAGTATCACCTTTCTGAGCTTATGCGACTGCAAGACCTGAGTCCTGTCTTGCTGGAGAAGTCAGTGCACACAAGCGAACAGACTATTCTGAGGTCTGTGGCATTTTGGAAAACTGTTTTCTTGTAGGATCCAATTTCCTTTCTGTTTCTCATGGAAAGAGCAGAGGTGGTGAGAGGCTTTAGGGAAATGTTGGCTGCTGCCTGCTTTCAGTTCTGCCTGCAGAAAGCAAATGT